TATATGTGTGTGTGTGTGTATATGTAATGGTGGGTGTTTCTGTGCTTTTCGTCGTCGGTGTCTGTCCATTTCTGTGTGTCATTGTGTCTGCGTCGAGATCTTTTTCTGGGTGGGTGTGTGACTCGATAGATGATGGTTTATCGTTTTATACGTATTTGTATGTGTATCACATGTATAAGTTATCTCAAGTGTTATATTCATGGTCAGTTAAACCTCATTTTCTTACTCGTTTAGTGTAGCAATGTATTTTTATGCTCCCTAATAGTTGAACACGATATTAAATTCCCATTAGGCGGAAATTAGTTCAATAAAATCAACTATGACGATGCTCAAGTACGAGGAAATGATCAATACGGCAGTTTTCTGCCTTAACGATCCGAAAAGCCTCTCGTGGCCTAAGGCAGAACCTTTTGTAGCCAATGAGTTTTTATTTGATTACGAACAATATTTGCCCCTGTATCACTATCCCAAAAATAGGGTGCTCAAACAGTAAGTGTACACGCATCACTTGATGCGTTCAGCAGTGAACTATTGAGAAAATTAGTATTTGTCAACGTGTTCATGGACAGCCACGGTATATATTTGAAAACTCGACTGCATGTTTATCTCACATTGAGCGTTAGAAGACGTTCTAACAATATATAGCGTAGTTGTTTGATACTCAAGTGTTCAAACATGCATAGGATTACAATTATATGTACATGTCTATGGATATGTAATCTATAGGAATGGCTATGGGAATGTATATATTTATATTTATATATAAATATATATATATATTAATATACATATATATAAATACATACATATATATATATATATATATTATGTGTGTGTGTGGGTGTTTATACAAGTATATATAAATATTATATACGTATATATATATATATATATATGTATGTATGTGTGTGTGTGTGTGTGTGTCTTTTATGTTTGTGTGTGTGTATATTGGATGTTTATTGGCTGTTTGAGTGCAATCCTGTTAGGCTGAATATCTTCGTCTTAGCTTTAATGCGTTGCTAGTTATCTTGTCGCAAAATAAAGCTCGGCTAGATTAAGATTCCTGGTATTTGTCATCGTACCTCAAATAGTGGAATTGCACTCACCTATGTCAGTGTTCGAGAAGGGTGCATTTAGCTATATCATACCGTTGAGCATCACCAGTCTTACCGTACATTGCGCATACATCTACGGTGCTAACTCTGTTCGTTTGTTCTCAATGCGACTTCTCAATGTGACATGTATAGGAAGTCTGTATACACTGACGGGCAGTGTGGCGATGTTGTCGACCTCGTGGATTGGGAAACCGCTCTTATACGCTCCGAGTATTCGGGAGTGCTGAATAGAGACGGCAAATGGGTGTGTATTTAACATTTAGTGTGCACTTCTCGTGCGATTGTGTATAGCTATGACTTTGGCAGGCGTAAATGAATCACATTCCGTGAATAAACGTCACGATGTTATGAGACTTTTTTTGTGAGGACCGCATTGTTCGGAGAATGTGTGCATTGAAAGTCCCCACAAGTGATACTATGGGTTACTCAAGTTTCGTTTCTTCGTTGTTATATGTTTTTGGTATCGGTTGAATTGACTCGTCTTAGTTTTCGCAGTCGTGAGGTAAAATTGTAATTGCTCAACCATATTTTCGGATCGAATGTGATATCCTACCCACCGTGGGGGAAGGTATCGCTATACTGGATATATACTAATGATGTTTCATGCCTATATGCTATACAGGCTGCTAGCACCCATATTTAAGCTTATCTATAACTGCGCTTTTCAAAACGATATGGCTTCACTATGGTTTATCCCCGTGCCACACCTCCGACTTGATGAAAATAGGGGGTCTTTAAAAACGCCTTTATTCCCCAGGAAAAGCATTTATTAACAACAGGGATGGCAAAATAAAAGGGGATTGTAATCAGATAATATTTAAAAGTCCCAACTGTATCTATATGCTTGTAGAGCCGCCTTCTATTCGTCTATCTCTCCCGTATTCTCATAGTATATCTATCCACTTCAATACAAACTACGGAGAATCCGGCTGGAAGCGAACCAGCCGCGCCCTTTCCTAAGGCCATTGAACCTCCGACCAGTGAGTTTGTTGCACTCCAGACGGAGATTCGGCTCATCATGTTACAAGAAGTCAGCGCAAAATGCCGAAAATTGTATGTCGGGTTCTATACAGATGCCGTTGTGTGCGCCTTGTAGCACTGTGCATGCTCACCTTGACGAGTGCCTGCAATGTGCCCTCTACGTCTTTCGAATCTCCATATGATTTCGACATGGTCACATCCTGGTTCTGGATGGCGAATCTTATTTGTGTGCGCACATCAGACTCTCATCTAGATCAATATCATGCGGTGCCTCATTCTATTCAAGGTATCGGGGTTGGTATGTGATTTAAGTCTTCTAAAATGAAGCAATATCTACTATATCTCACCATGGATTGTCACGCATCTTGCTCATTCTCTCCACGTTTAGACATGGCCCAAATCATAAAGAGATTTGCAAATCCAAAATCTCAGAGTCAGTTGTTAGAAGGATAGCTATGGGAGTTGGTCGGACACTCATCACGTGCAGAGCCGTGCTGCTGGACCGCGACCATGACAGGAAAACCAATCTACCATAGTAAGTGATGATTATAGGTTGCAAACAGTAGAATGAACGGCATGAAAAATACTCACAAGCACACTTTCCAATACGCGCAACATATGCAAGTTAGTCTGTTTCTATGCATGGTTCTTTGGCGCACAGTTACCAATATTAAGCGTGTGGAATAGTTCTGGAACGAATGGAACTCACAATCGCCTTACCACTGTCTTTCCAGTGTGTCTTCTCCGTTGTGTTAGAGATTGTTGTGTGAATACGATTCGAATTTTAACAATATACATTTGACATCTTTGTCCTTCCCTATTATTTCATTGCAGCGATTATCTAAAAGAAAGGCAGCAATGCTTGTCAGGCGATTACCTTTCTGTCGCTTTGGCAGTTTCAATCGAAAATCAAAATGGCCATATCACAGACAGGTGGGTTGGATTAACTACGTTGCGATTCTATGAGGTCGAGACTTTTGAAAATCAATCTAGATAAATCGCTCTCGTTTCTACTCATCCGTTGAATAAATCGTGGCTAAGCAAATACATGTTAAGTGTGATGCGTTTCTCAGGTGTCTATACCCATGCGATGTATCCGTGAGAATATGCGTGACACGACGAGTACCTTTGTTGGGTTTTTGTACACAATGAGTTTATTGGACTCGGATCTGACCTGGCGCACACGCTGATGTATCTCATATCTATCGATTATGGATTGTGATGAGCGTGTTTCTCGCCCTACTTTTTGCAGTAAAGCCACTCGATCTATACTGGATGCATATGGTCTATGTAGATGCTTTATTACAATATATCTACGTACTACTTGCCTGTTCATGCTCTGCACTGGTTGCAAACAACATTTGGAGAACGCAAAATTTCACAACCGGCCTACGCAATCTTGATTAGACTATACTCTGTTGTGTAACCACGTGCTTGTGTTTTATTTAATTCATCCTTACAGAGTACTAGTTCGGACAAATGACAGGATTGAAGTTATTTTCAAGAATAGGAATAAATTGTATATGAAAGGCAATGTCAATGTCTGTCATAGCGCTGGACCTGGGGCAAGGTCCAGACTCAAAGCAAAGAAACGCCGACACTAACGCGCCATTAGACCGGAATAAAGCCCTATAATGCTAGACTCGGTTTAATTCAATATACATGTTTAGATAGTGTTTTGTTCTGGAATGAGATTAATCAGACGCGATCAGGCGAGCCGAGATAGATACGTAACATGTCAATATATAAATATATATATATATATGTGTGTGTGTGTGTGTGTGTGTGTATCTATATATATGAATATATATATATATATTTACCTATATCTATATCTATCTATCTATCTATATATATATATATGTGTGTGTGTGTGTGTAGTAG